AGTCTACTTCTCAGATCTTTATGTACACTAAACAATAGATATCTGGTGAGTTCAAATTATATTAAACACTCTTTCCATAACTTTTCCAATGACAACTGAATCAGAACAAGGTGAAGCAGGGAGAAGTGTTGAAATTAGAAATCCTAACCATTACTGGTCTATACAAAAGAATCACAATGTGTCTTTTTCCTGAATCTGCAACAATTGGCTAACTAGAGTTGCAACAAGTTGGAGTTATGCTTGATTTGAGTTGAAAGAGTTTGGATGTGGGCATATGAGGATATATAGGATGATACATACTTAAGGAGGTAACAAGTATGAATCCAAACATTTATAAGGTATACTTTGTAAACAAAGATGAAACTTTTAACTTGTTTTCACTATCTCACCCGTCCAGACTTTTCCATCAGCTACTGATCCCCTGTGGACTTGTTGGTTTATTGCCATCAGATTAAAACTACTCACATGCATCTTGCTTAGCTGTGTTCTCTTTGTTTGAAATTGTTTATGTTTCTCTCTCCTAGTATGCTCTTATAAAGGCCACTATCTGTATCACTTATTTTGTCTATAAGATGGTCTCCTTCAGTGTCCACTGTGTAACCATCCTCTGTGTATACAGATATTTACATGTCTATGTATATAGATATCTATGCCTATATGTATCTATAATAGATATTTATGTCTGTATATACATAGATAGCTATGTCTATATGTACATATATATTTATATGTCTATGTATATGGATATTTATCTCTCTATGAACCTAGGTATTTATATATCTATGTACCTACAATGTATATTTCTATGCATATAGACATTTGTATATCTACGTACCTAGACATTTATATCTCTCGCTGGACATTTACATATCTATGTACCTAGATATTTACATTTATGTACACTTATGTATATACAAATAGATGTCTTACCAGTATAACAGGGCCTGTAGAAAAGGGAACACTCCTACAAAAAGACCTGACTTGGCAACTGAACAACAACAAAATAGAAAAAACATTCGGTTCACCTGAAACCAACAACACATGGTATATCAATGTTACTACAATATGAAAAAAAGGTTACTTTAATGCTTAGGGGGACTTCCCTGCAGTCCAGTGGTTAAGATTCTCTGCTTCAAATGCAGGGGGTGAGGGTTCGACACTTGCTCGGGGAAATAAAAATCCCACATGCCACATGGCACTGCCAGTAAATTTAAAAAATTATTAAAATAAATAAATAAGAATGTTCAGAAAGAACACACAAGCTTTAGGGTGTTTCTTCAGCTACATTCCATATTGAATTACAGTCTTGAGTTAAAATTTGAAAGTTTTCACTTTCAAGGCAATCACAACTGGGCATGAAACAGTCCTGACGCCTTGTGGCCATTCCCTGCAATAGCAACCTTAAAACTTATGCTTATGAGAACATTTCATGCAAAGATGGGCTCAGTAAAGGACAGAAATGGCAGGGACCTAACAGAAGCAGAAGATATTAAGAAGGGGTGACAAGACAACACAGAAGAACTATACAAAAAAGATCTTCATGAACTAGACAGTCATGATGGTGTGATCACTCATCTAGAGACAGACACCCTGGAATGTGAAGTCAAGTGGGCCTTAGGAGACATCACTACAAACAAAGCAAGTAGAGGTGATGGAATTCCAGTTGAGCTATTTCAGGTCCTAAAAGATGATGCTGTGAAAGTGCTGCATTCAATATGCCAGCAAATTTGGAAAACTCAGCAGTGGCCACAGGACTGGAAAAGGTTAGTTTTCATTCCAATCCCAAAGAAAGGCAATGCCAAAGAATGCTCAAACTACTGCACAATTGCACTCATCTCATACACTAGCAAAATAATGCTCAAAGTGCTCCAAGCCAGGCTTGAGCAATACGTGAACTGTGAACTTCCAGATCTTCAGTCTGGTTTTAGAAAAGGCAGAGAAACCAGAGATCAAATTGCCAACATCGACAGGATCATCGAAAAACAAGAGAGTTCCAGAAAAAATATATATTTCTGTTTATTGACTATGCCAAATCCTTTGACTGTGTGGGTCACAATAAACTGTGGAAAATTCCCAAAAGATGGGACTACCACACCACCTGACCTGCCTCTTGAGAAATCTGTATGCAGGTCCAAGAAGTAACAGTCAGAACCAGACATGGAACAACAGACTGGTTCCAAGTCAGAAAAGGAGCATATCAAGGCTATATATTGTCACCAGGCTTATTTAACTTCTATGCAGAATATATCATGAGAAATACCGTGCTGGATGAAGCACAAGCTAGATTCAAGATTGCCGGGAGAAATATCAGCTATGCAGATGGCACAACCCTTATGGCAGAACGTGAAGAAGAACTGAAGAGCCTCCTGATGAAAGTGAAATGGGAGAGTGAAAATGTTGGCTTAAAACTCAACATTCAGAAAACTAAGATCATGGCATCTGGTCCCATCACTTCATGGCAAATAGATGGGGAAACAGTTGCTGACTTTATTTCAGGGGGCTCCAAAATCACTGCAGATGGTGACTGCAGCCATGAAATTAAAAGACACTTACTCCTTGGAAGAAAAGTTATTACCAACATAGACAGTATATTAAAAAGCAGAGATGTTACTTTGCTAACAAAGGTCTGTCTAGTCAAGGCTATGGTTTTTCCAGTGGTCATGTATGGATGGGAGAGTTGGACTGTGAAGAAAGCTGACTGCTGAAGAATGGATGCTTTTGAACTGTGGTATTGGAGAACACTCGAGAGTCCCTTGGACTGCAAGGGGATCCAACCAGTCCATTCTAAACGAGATCAGACCTGAGAGTTCATTGGAAAGACTGATGTTGAAGCTGAAACTCCAATGCTTTGGCCACCTGATCTGAAGCGCTGACTCATTTCAAAGGAACCTGATGCTGAGAAAGATTGAGGGCAGGAGGAGAAGGGGAAGACAGAGGATGAGATGGTTGGATGGCATCACCGACTCAATGGACACAAGTTTCGGTAATCTCCAGGAGTTACTGAGAGACAGGGAGGCCTGGCGTGCTACAGTCCATGGGGCTGCAAAGAGTCAGACACGACTGAGTGACTGAATTGAACTGATAAGGGGAAAGAATATGAAGAAGAATAAATATCTATATCTAGATCAAGAATAGATAGCTATATGTATACCAGACCAGCTGGAATGTAAGGGATGCTGATGGTGACTGGTTTGACTCTCAAGACTTCAATCAGCTGAAGCTTGGAGTCTCCCACAGCCCAAGACCCTTAACAAACATGCCTGAAAAGTTAAAGTGTTAGTCACTCTCTCATGTCTGACTGTTTGCAACCCCACGGACCACCAGCCTCCTCTGTCCATGGGATTCTCCAGGAAAGAATACTGGAATGGACTGCCCCGCCCTCCTCTTGGGATTTTCTGCATTTAGGGGTTGAACCCGGGTCTTCTGCTATCCAGAGATTGTTTACCATCTGAGTCACCACAGAAGCCGGAACACACCTGTACTCATAGATTAAAGCTTACCCAACTTTGTGGTTTACAGAGACACTGCTCTGGAAAGCTCCATGGTGATCTCCATAGTTCTGCAAGTAATACACTTTTCCTTCCCATGAGCTTTGGCTGGGTTGTACCTTCTGGCTCTACACTCACCAAGAGGTAAACTCACTTTTCTGGTAACAGTTCTCCATCCAGACTCCCAACCACCACTTGATACTAATTCTATAGTGAGTCGCTTTGCTTCCAATACATGGAAATCACATTATTTTTCTGTGAGCAAAGCTACCTAAGGGCCAGAAACAGTGTCCCTATTTTATCTTGTGAAGCCAGTAGGTGTCAGGCAAACTCAGCTCAGGGGATCCACAGTCCTCCAGATCGATGCCTCGGCTTACAGAAAACACTTGCAAGGCTTTGAGGTTTTCTTTATACCTCATTTCTGAAGGCTTTTCATACCTACATTAAATATACAGATGGCTCATCATTTACACTTCCACTTTCAGGTTGAAAATCCTCCAAGTTTTTTCTAACATACTTATTCCATGAGTTGTGTTTAAATCTTGGACCATACGGTGTTTATCTTGTGTCTCATCAGAATGCAGTTAATTACACCGTTTTCCCTTGAATAATGCAGTACTCACCACATACAGTTCTTGCCAAAACTGGATTTGATAAGGTAGGGCACAGGTGGGCCTAGGATAACTCCGGGAGCATGGTAACAGTCTGGTGGAGCCGATATACCAGTTGAGGGCACTGGAAAGAAACATTCAGCCTGAGGACGACCCGCCCACTTGAGGATCCAGGCCTAAGAGGCCATGCCTGAAAACAAAGAAACCAGCCAAGATGCGCCTGCGCGCTGGAGGCTTGACAGACACGCCCACAGAGCAGCCAATCCCCGAGTGGTGGGGCGGGGCTTCCATCGCGCTCCCCACCCTCCGGGAGCCTATTGGCCAAACTGCCTCAGTCACAACGCTGATTGGTCGCTTGTGCCTGACAGGGTACAGACAGGCTGCTGGCCCTTCACTTCACCTCAGCGCGGACGGACTGGACTTTGCTGAACCTCTAGCGCTCCTGGGGACAGGGTGGGAGCGCGGCAAGACAGCGGGGAGGCTGACGGGGAGGCTGACGGGGAGGCTGAGGGGAACGCGTCCTGCCCAGCCCTCGTAAACCCTTAGCCTGATGGCTTCAAAATCCAGGGTGGGAGGCCCGAAATCCTCTCAACTTTGAGTAACATGAGTCCTAATCTGAAGGGGGCTTGCTCTCGTCAGCTTCAGGGATTACAAGTCCCTTCACCCACAGAAACACCGAATCCCCTAGTGCTGCGACCCTCAAATACCTAGATTAACCCCAGTTCCCCTAAGCCTGAGGAACCCTAAAAATAGCACCCGCAGAGAGACCAAATTTCCTCAACCTTGGAGACCCTGAATACCTCCGCCTGGGAGCTCTTAAAATTCTTCCTCCTCAAGACCCTAACTGTCCTGCCTGTCAGAGACCTAAAGTCCCTTAATAAGAAACCCCCGATTTCCTCAGCCTCACAGATCCCAACTTTTCTCACCCTGCGCATTCTACATCAGCCAAAAGTTCCCCAGCCCACTCTGAGGACCCCAGTTCCTTCAGCCCGTGAGACCCAGATCTCCTCAAGCCGAGCGACTTGTCCCTTAGACGTAGAACCTACGTTATGCCCAGATTTTTCTGAGTCCCTGGGAGGAGATCCTCAAAACCCTTCTTGGAGAAACATTCCCTCTGCTGCACTGGAACAGAGCCCTGATTTCAGCCTGACCCCAGTCCAGCAGTTAGGGGTTTCCGGGTCTCCTCAAGAAACCCTCCGTCACCCACAGACACATCCCCTCAGAGGGGCTGAATTGTAGGGGATCCAAAGAAACCAAATCTAGTTCACATTAGGCTGATATGTCATATCTAGTCAGGATCTGTCCATCCCACCAATATCCTCACCCTGACTTTCCTCTCACCTTCCTGCCTTGGACACTCCACCCAAGGAAGACAGACCAGGCTCTGGACACTGGTCTGGGCTATCTCAGCACCTTCTTCTTCCACAGGCACCTTGGCCTTGAGCGCTCCCATGGCCATGAGGCCGAACAGGTCTCCAGAGGAGAGCACTGAGGGAGATGCTGGGAGAACAGAGCGGAAGCCCATGGTGAGAGGTGGAGGCGGCAAAGCTGGGCTCTAAGCCAGCTCTATAGGAAGGACACAGCGCTGGTCCCTGAAGCATCACAGACTGGTTGCCTGGGCAGCTGAGTGAACTTCCCTGTGACTGTACACAGGATGGGAATGCCTGATCCTGTCTGAGATGGTGGGAAGGAGTGGGACAAAACAGGACACTAGCTTCGTCAACTGCTCTGTGTCCAGGGAGAGCTAGGAAAATGCTCAGGGTTTGTTCAGTTAAGGAGGACACAGTCGGGAAGGAAAGTCTTCATCCCTGTGTCACACAGACCATCCAGCAGCTTCAGGCTACTCCCTGCACAAAAGGTGGAGGAGAAGGCCCAGCTCTAAGGTCTGACTTAGATTAGTAAATCACTGATGAAATCGATTATTTTCCTTAGGCCAAAGATGCTTTCAAAGACATCTCCGTATACTTCTCCAAGGAAGAATGGGAAGAGATGGGAGAATGGGAAAAAATCCGATATAGGAATGTGAAAAGAAACTACGAAGCACTGATTGCTATAGGTAACAGGAAGTGCTGGGTGCCTGTGAGCCTGGGAAACATGAAGCAGGTCTTCACCCTCAGTGTTCACTTGGCCCGCTCTTAGGTGGCTTCATCTGCTCATAGTGCCCTTTTGTGTGGAGACTAAGCTGGAGAAAATGTTTACAGTTTTGTACCAATGGGAGGTTGACCCTGCAGTGCAGAGCTCACCTCTTGCCTTATTCTAGATTCTCCCAGCCCATCCTACAGATTTCCTTGACTTTTTGACACTTTCCATTGCTTCTATGCTTTGTTTCTCCTTCTTAGAACAAATATTTTGCTTCTTTCCAGGTTTCAGAGCCACTCGACCGGATTTCATGCATCACCTCAGACAGGTCATCAAACCCCAGGTAGATGACACTGAGGATTCTGATGAAGAATGGACACCAAGGCAGCAAGGTGAGAGGCCAGGAGGATTTGGAGGTGTCTTCCTGAAACCAGCCTAGGCTTAGGTCCCAACTACATCTCAGCCAGTAGCAAAGAAAACATAATTTTCAGCATTCTGAAGTGGTTGTGGTTGAATATTTACGTAAGCCTGAATGAGGTGAATGTATAGGTTTTCCAGTGTAATTCTCAAAAGTTTTATGGTTAAAATTTATCATTCTTTTTAAAAAGAATTATTTTTGCTAAACATAAGAAGGAAAAGGTTTCTAAAGAAACCTTAGAAATAAATTCACCAAACAGATTTAGTTCTAATCTCATTGCTTATTGGATTAAGTCTCTTAGAAGAGGAGATGATTAACATATTATGTCAAGATACATTATTTATGTATGTATATAAAACAAAACCCATGATCTTCTTACCCTAAGGTTAAACTAACTCTTTAATTTGATTCTGGGAAAGGGTTGGAGAGAACTATTTATTCTCCATGATCTTTCCCACATTTCACTGACCGGAGGTGGCATCAGATAAATAAAATGAAGTACACTTATTATAAAATAAAAGTGAGCAGCTCACTTCCTCTTCTGGTGCTCAAACAGTTTAGAAGAGTGAATCTGCCTAGACTGGAGAAAACAATTTAGATAGTTCTATGATTCTCCATCTATGGATTTCTGTTCTTCCAGATTTTTAAAAATTATTTATTTAGTCTTGACTGCACTGGGTCTTTGTTGCTGTGCACAGGCTTTCTCTGGTTGCGGTGTCTTCTCATTGCAGAGCACATGCAGGGTCTGTAGTTTGTGACACACAGGCTTAGCTACCCCGCAGAAAGTGGAATCTTCCTGGACCAGCCATCGAACCTGTGTCCTCTGCATTGGCAGGCAGATTCTCATCCACTGTGCACCAGGGAAGTCCCTCTGTTCCCTGAGGTTATTAAAACTAGGGAAAGAGACATGAAAACAAACATGTGGCTGTCTGCAAAGGTTTTGACATAAGGAGAGATTCTTCATAGGGAATACATACGCCTCGGTTCACCATACGCCTGCACGTCTTTATTTACCTTTTTAACAATTTGAGTGTATGGCACACTGTTGCTAGCTATGTACACGTTAGTGGTAGTGGCCATAGTGCTAATCACTCAGTCATGTCTGACTCTGCGTACCCATAGACTGTAGCCCACCATGCTCCTCTGTCCATGGGATTCTCTAGGCAAGAATCCTGGAGTGGGTTGCCATCTCCTGCTCCAGGTGATCTTCCCAACCCAGGGATTGAGCCTGCATCTTTTGCATCTCCTGCATTGCAGGTGGATTTTTTACTGCTGAGCCACCAGGGATATATATACACATTGCTGTACAACACATCTGTAGAAATGTTACATCTTCCGTAACTGAAGCCCTAACCCACTGAGTAACAATTCTCCAATCCTTCCTCCTCACAGCCCTTGGCAACCATGGTTATATTTTCTATTTCCGTGGATTTGATTAATTTAGATACCTCATAGAAGTGGAATCAGGCAATATTTGTCTTTTTTGATTGGTTCATTTCACTTAGTATAATATCATCAAGGCCCATCCATGATGTAGCATATGACAGAATTCTTTTTTAAGGCTTCAAAACATTCCACTGTGTGCATGTGGATATAAGAGCTATAACATATATCTTATATATAATCTTTATCTTTTATCCACCAATGAACATTTAGATTGCTTACACATCTTGCTCATTGGGAATAATGCGGCAATGACCATACATGTGCCCACTATTTATTCAATATCTTGCTATCAATTTTTTATGGAAATACACTCTTGAGTTGGATTGCTAGATCATACAGCAGTTCTAATTTTCTGTGGAAACTCCATACTGTTTTCTATAAAGCTTGCAATGTTTTACATTGCCAACAATAGTGTATAAGGGTTCCAATTTATCCATATCCTTACCAAACTTGCTATTGTCTTCTTATACATATTGCCCATCACAGAAGGTTTCAATTTGTATTTCCCTATTGATTAGTAACATTGAGCATCTTTTCATATGTTTGTTGGCCATTTGTGTATTTTCTCTGGAGAAATGTCTGTTCAATTCCTTCTCTAACTGTTAGTCAGGTCAGACTGCCATAACAAAACAGACTGCAATCCTTATACCACAGAAATTTGTTTTCTTACAATGCTGAAGCATGGAAATTTGATATCAATGTGCCATCATGGTCAATCAGGTTCTCTTCCTGGCTTATAGGTCGCCTTCATACTGGTGTATGCTTATTAACCCCTTATCAGATGCATATTTTACAAATATTTTCTACCATCCTATAGGTGGCCTTTTCAACTCTGTTCAGTGTCCTTTGCTGCACAGAGGTTTGAAGATTAATCTCATTTGTCTATTTTTACTTTCTTACTAATACTTGTACACTTGGTACCATATCTAAGAAATCATTGCTGATTCAAAGTCGTGAAGCTTCACGTTTGTTTTCTTCTAAAGAGTCTTATCAAGTCTTGCATTTAGGTCTTTATTCCATTCTGAGTTGATTTTTTCTTCAAGATGTAAGATGTTCATTATTTTGCCTATGGTTATTTTGTTTCCCCAGAACCATTCATTACAGGGATTAAATTATCCCCATTATCTTGACACCCTAGGTGAAGATCATTAGACCATGTATCCAAGAGTTTATTTCTGACTGTCTATTCTGTTCCATTGATGGACATATCTGTCTTTATGCCAGCCAGCTTCCTCAGTGGCTCAGCAGGTGAAGAATCTGCCTTCAGTGCAGGAGACACAGGAGATGCAGGTTCAATCCATGGGTTAAGAAGATCCCCTAGAGAAGGAAATAGCAACACTGTCCAGTATTCTTGCCTGAGAAATCCCCTGGACAGGGGAGCCTGGTGGGCTACAGCCCAAAAGGTCACAAAAAGTCAAGAAGACTGAGCGACTAAGCACATATTTTTTCCCAAATCTACACTCTTTTGGTTCCTGTACCTTTGTAGTATGTTCTGAAATCTGAGGCTTCCAGCTTTGCTGTTCTTTCTAATATTGCTTTGCCTATTTGGGGTGCTCTGAGATTCCGTGTTAACTGTTGGATGGATTTTCTATATCCGAAAAAAATTCCATTGGGATTTTAATAGGAATTGCATTGAATCTTTAAATTGCTTTGGGTAGTATGAACAGCTTAATAATATTAAGCCTCCAAATCCACAAACATGAGACACCTATCTATTTATTTATGTCAGATTCCTTTCAGCAATATTTTGTAGTTTTCAACATATAAGTCTTTCATCTCCTTAAGTTTATTCCTAATTACTTTATCTATTCAATGCTATTATAAATAAGATGTTTTGTCCAGTGGCTAAGACTGCACACTCCCAATGCAGATAACTTGGGTTCAGTCCCTAGTCAGGGAACTAGATCCCACATGCCACAACAAAGACCTGGAACAAACAAATAAATAAAAATAAATATATTCTTTTAAATTTAGCTCTTGACTGTAGCTTTAAAAAAGTGAAAAATAAACAGTATTGTTTTCTTATTTTCCTTTGTGGAATGGTCATTCTTCATGCATGGAAAGATATTTGAATGTTGATTTTGTACTGTGCAACTTTCTGTGCGGGTTTTTTGTGTGTGTGGATTTAAAGATTTTTCTGCACATAAAACCATGCCCCTGTGAACAGAAATAATTTCACTTCTTTCTTTCCAAATGGAAGCCTTTTGTTTCCATTTCTAACCTAAAGCCCTGGCTAGGACTTCTAGTATTATGGTGAACAGAAATGTTGATAATGGGCATCCTTGCCTTTTTTTCTTGATCTTTTTCACTGATGACTATGATGTTAGAGGTAGACTTTCAATATATGACCTTTATTGTATTGCAGTCACTTCCTCCTATTTCTACATTGTTGAGTCCTTTTGTCATGAAAGACTAGTAAATTTATTAGATACTTTATGAACATCAGATGAGGCACAGATGAAGTTTCTTTTTTTTTTTTTTAATTTTAAGAAAATGATGTAATGCTCCCAGTGGAACCATGGGAGCTGATGGTACAGAAATCGTCTTCCATTCCTCCTTGGTAAGCCTTGTCCTTGTCGCGCTCTGGCTCAGGGTCCTGTGTCCTGAGTTAGAAGCCCAGACTGTGGAATCATTTACCAACCAAGACACTGATTCTCATCACTCTTTAGGTAAACCTTCTGCGGTGGCCTTCAGGGTGGAGCAGACTAAACACCAGAAGGTGAGTATTTCCCAAATCCTGTTGCCAAAATATCCTCCTCATGGATCCAGTCACAGGTGAGAATAGGAGAAAGCACAGAGATCCTGGAGACTGCTGCCTTCCTGTCCTGAATCTTTAGCACAATGTCTGACATCATCACCATCTCTACAGTTAGTAAGAACAACAACAGTAGTAGGCGGTTCTGTTGTTACATTATTTTCATAATATTTCAGACTTTAAGCATTTTATGTGAATAAACTTACTTAAACCTTAAATCAATCCTACAGTGCCTATAAGTAGGTATATAGCTATCACCATTATAGATAAAAAAGCTGAGGTAAAAAACATTTGATTATATGCCTGAGATCACAGTATCACTGGTAGTGCAATCTGAACCAATGCACGTTCTCTAAACCCCTTAGAAACTGATTAAAACTTCCGTAGTTCTATGAAGCTTATTCATACATCTTTATATCATTCATCTGAGAGATGTTTTCAACCTCAGTTCTGTTGTGCTGTGCTAGGGAGGGATATGCTAACACATCTGACTAAGGGAAGCTTAAGGACATGCTGGGCAGTTTGTAGAGTGGATGGTCCAAGATAAAGAAACTTAAGGACATGCTGGGTAGTTTGTAGAATGGATGGTCCAAAATGAAGAAGATAAGGACATGCTGGGCAGTTTCTAGAGTGGACAGTCCAAGATGAAGAAGGAGACAGGATCCCTACCTCAGAGCCTCCCACTCCAATAAGAGGAAGCAACTCCCAACCCTGATAAGCATCAGGTTTATGACTGAAAAGCAACAAATAAGAAAATAACAGAAGGACTTCACGTAGATTACCTGCCTTTGAGTAGAAACTCATCATCTGGGCATCATTTCAAATGCTCATTCTTGCAGGAGGGAGTAACAAGTCCTTCTCCTGAGCTCTGATTAGGCAACTCTCCTGTTTGGAATCATTTGTTTAGCCTGCCCCTGTGTTGTGAGCTTTGAGAGCCTAGCCCACACCCATTCATTCTCAGAAGTCCAGGCCCAGCTCAAAGGCCCTGAGGCCCCCTGAATGTTTTCTGAATAAGTGACCACATTTAAGCATGCATCTAGGAGTAGAAAGGTCAAAGAACGCTGAAGATAGTATCTGTGAGCTAGACCTCAAATACAGATGCAGTTTAGGGAATAAATTGATACCAGGGATGTATGCTCACGTTCTTATTGTATTAAATAGCTCACACAACAATTTGTTGAAGGTTATTAAATTTCATGTCCACTATAATATTAAGAATTAGCCTGTATACCAATTAATGGATCAGGAAACTGAGGAGAACCAGCTAGTCATACAGCCTTGTTCAAGGAGAACTGATGAGACCAGCTACTTTAATTCCAAACATTGTCTCTAGGACATGGCAACCTGCAACTTTCATCTCATTTTCTTTATTGTCTAAATGTGTTTCTGCCGATCATCTTTTCTCGTCTTAGTCTCACTGCTTTGTCACCTTATTTTCCAGATGTGTTTTGTCCTCTCTGTAATTTTCCATAGTTCCTCGTCCATCAAAGCGCCACTAATTAATAGAAACCCCCCGGATCTCTCTACGAGCCCTTACCCTCTTCTTTCTCTGACCTCCAGCTATTCTCCCTGCCTTGCTCTCACTTTTATGCAGAAAGTTGAAGGGGAAAAACCTTAACATATGAATTCTAGTTTTGATTCACTATCCACCTAGGTCCATTTTTTAGACTCCAGTGTTCAGACCCTCCACCCCCCCAAAAAATCAGGTATTTCCAAGAATTGTCAAAGTATTAACTAAAGTCATGCATGTGAAAACACTTCATAAAGTCTTAAAGAACTAAAAAATGGATGTTGTCTTTTACTCACATGGAAGAGAATGTCCAGGGCACCAATAAGTAAGGAATCTAGTTTGAAGGAATTGCCGGGAGCAGCAACATTGCTGAAAACAAGTGGCTCCAAGCAGGCTCAGAAACCAGTGCCCCATCACAGAAAAGCAAGGACCCCTGGACAGCACCCCAGACAAAACGTCGGTAAGAGAAATTTTGGGGGGGTTCCTTTAATTAGTTCCTCTAATCCCTGTAGAAAAACTAGTAAGTATGGCCTAGGTGTGTGGCATGGACTTTGGGTAGGCGGGGGTTTAAGCTGGACTGATCTGAGGCATGAAGTTAGCACTGGGGCCTTGGGAAAATCTTATACATTTTCTGAGGTCCTGATTGCTATCTGTAAAGTGAAGATAAGCATACATAACTCATGCAGTGCTTGAAAGCCTTACATTAAATGCAAAGTCTGACACCTACAAGTAGTTCAAGAAATCCAGCTGTGATACTGGGAACCGTCCTTTATTAGTGTTTATGCCCAGACCTCTGCTCAATGCCTTACGTGTCATGTGCCCTGAACATATATTTTCTGAGTAGACGTGTCAGTGAACTGTTTCCTCCCTAGTAGGGAGGTTTGGAAGTTAAACCTACTAATGGGAATTGCAGGACACTATCTCTAAACTGGGCATCTGTGGTCAGTGGAGCCTCAGTCTCCTGAACCTGTAGTTAAAGGGACAAAAAACAAAGTATAGAGAAGGGACTTCCTGGGGGTTAAGTGGTTAAGACTCCACGCTTCCACTGCAGGAGGTGTGGGTTCCATTCCTGGTCAGGGAACTAAGATCCCACAAGCCATGCAGCGTGGCCAAGAAATAAATAATGTAACATGAAAACAGAAAATTACAAAAGTAAAAGTTTGAAAAATACATCTAAGAAAGTTTTAACAAAGTGTATAGATGGACAGGTAGGAGATCTCACACTTTCTGATAAAACAGGTACTAACTCCCCAGACCCCACCAGCCTTGCTTAGCTTCTATTCTCCATCTTAGAACTCAGAAGAAAGGAGACTGGAGTGAAGAGGTACAGTCTACGAGAAAGAAAGGGCCACGTGTACCAAGAGGTCAGCGAGCCCCAGGATGATGACTATCTCTGTGAGTGACCCCGCTGGCCCAATCACAGAGAAGGGGCTACGAGGCCTTCGTCCACTAACCTCACCTCACCATTTGGTTCCCCGGCCATCCCCTTCCTCTATGACTTGGGGTGCATGATCGAGGCCAAATGCCATGAGTGCCCCAGTTCTTTCTGAAGGTCGTTACGACCAGCAACATCACTATACCTCCTCTCATCCCTGCTCTCACCTCCAGATTGTGAGCAGTGTCAGAACTTCTTCATCGACAGCTGTGCTGCCCACGGGCCCCCAACCTTTGTAAAGGACTGTGCAGTGAAAAGGGGGCATGCCAATCGCTCAGCGCTCACTCTGCCCCCTGGGTTAAGCATCACACTGTCGGGCATCCCTGACGCTGGTCTTGGAGTGTGGAACGAGGCATCCGATCTGCCGCTGGGCCTGCACTTTGGCCCCTATGAGGGCCAGATCACAGACGACGAAGAGGCCGCCAACAGTGGATATGCCTGGCTGGTGAGAAGCACCCATTTCCCTGTCCTCTGGCCTCTAATCGCTTGTATGTGGTGGGGGGTACTTCATGTCTACATGCGAGGATGCAGATGGTGATAACATGGTTGACAATGATACAGTCAGCCCTGTGTCCTGAGTGCACTGGGCGTGAACACAGGACTTCCATCTAAAGGTCAGAGGAGAGGTGGGACCACAGCGTCCAGACACACAGGACCTCTATCTAAAGGTCAGAGGAGAGGTGGGAACACAGTGTCCAGACACACAGAACCTCTATCCAAAGGTCAGAGGGAAGGTGGGACCACAGTGTCCAGACACACAGAACCTCTATGCAAAGGTCAGAGGGAAGGTGGGACCACAGTGTACAGACACACAGGACCTCTATCTAAAAGTCAGAGGAGAGGTGGGAGACAGTGTACAGATACTCAGAACCTCTATCCAAAGATCAGAGGAGAGGTGGGAACACAGTGTCCAGACACACAGGACCTCTATCCAAAGGTCAGAGGAGAGGTGGGACCACAGTGGACAGACACACAGGACCTCTATCTAAAGGTCAGAGGAGAGGTGGGAACACAGTGTACAGACGCACAGAAGTGACTCCTCCCTTGTGGAGCCCTTGCCTTCAAGTAACCAAGAGACTCAGACTTGGAATGATGAGTAATAAGTTAACCGTGTGATCTGACTGGCAGTTGAATCCATGCAGGCTGAAAAGCACCAATGACTGCAGAGGGAAATACCTCCTCTATTGCTTCCTACCGATTAAAAAAAAAAAAAAGAGGAAATCTTTTAACTCTTTTTCTGACACTCAGATCACCAAAGGGAGAAACTGCTACGAGTATGTGGATGGAAAGGACACGTCTTCGGCCAACTGGATGAGGTGAGTGCAGTGAGCCTGCACTGTGTAGACATTGATACTCCCTCAATCCCACGCCCCTTTCCTGCTCAACCCGGCTCCCTCAACAGCTTTCACATCTTCTTTCCTCTTTTCCCTCCATATCATGCTCTTTCATTTCAAAAGACACTAGAAAGAAGTAAATAGAAATATGGCATGTGCCGTCAACATACAAGTCTATATGCTGAACAAAACTGGTGGACTTGAAATCAACTTGAGGAGTCTAGATTCACCAGGGACACTTTAACTCACTTAATGGACACTTACCACGCACTTTATGTTTCAGTTCAGACCGTGAACTTCGTTACTGAAGCAGATCACACAACCCATGTCCTTTTGGAGAACATACTGCAAACAGACATTAGCCAATTTATTTTAGGAACAGTAACCTTATTTTTTCTCTCTTTGAGTAACTACACAGTGCCAGGATAACCTAACACAGGAGACCTTGACTCTATGTGGCAACAACCTCCTCAGGCTCAGTTCCAGTGAGAAGTGGGCCCTGAGGCCTCGGAAGGAATGGGGGGCAGGATGGCCCTGAGCAGGGCCGTTCTCTGAGGGCCTCTCCTTTCAGCAGGGCAGGCAGACAGGAACAAACTATTACTGTTCTGTGTCTCAAGCTCTCTCAGAGCTCTCTCCAAGTTTCCCTGGGAGTGGGTGGGCGAGCGAATAGGACCCTGGATACACGTGGGGAGAGGGGAGAAAGCCTTGGGAGAGAAGGCAGGCTGGGGTGAGTGCTGAGGGCTGCATGTTAGCCAAGGAGCACCAAGTCCTGTGGATGAAAGAGAACTTAATTCAGAGTTTAGAGGAGCTGGAGGTCACCAGCCTCACGGACAGTCTAGGTGGAGACGAGTCTGGATCTGGGCTCTGGAAAATGGCTAATTAGGTAAGGAGAGAAAGGCATGGGAATTCACATGGCCTGGCCGAAGGTGTGAACAGAAGGTCCACATGAGGGGCGGCCTCAGAGGCGGAAGGCAAGGAGCTGGGCGTGGTTAGAGAGTGGAGGGCACTCATCACCTGAGGTTTCTTTCCCTTTCCCGGCCTCAACCCCAGGTATGTGAACTGTGCCCGGGACGATGAGGAGCAGAACCTGGTGGCCTTCCAGTATCACGGGCAGATCTTCTACCGAACCTGCCAGGTGGTCAGGCCAGGCTGTGAGCTGCTGGTCTGGTACGGGGACAAGTATGGCCAGGACCTTGGCATCAAGCGGAACAGCAGGGCGAAGAGCAAGCTTGCGGCCGGGAGAGGTGAGTGTCACCCCTCTTCCAGCACCCCACCCCATCCTGGGAGCCTCCATGATCCGATTTCGACGCAGAGTACAATCCAGTCCAAAGTCAGTTGAGTTGCAATTAAAATGCCTCAGAATTTGATTCTTTTCATATGATTGTTAGGAAAAATTTCTATATTAAAAATCCTAGTTCTAATTTTTAATATTTCATGCAAAATAATTGTAACATCACCTTCTGCTGAAAGGCTTAGGAGCAAAATACAAGTTTTCTAACACTTACCACCTCTCTGCCCTTTACCTCTTTCTTCCTTAATTCCTCCCGTTAATTTTTTTTTAACTAAAATAAAGACATTTTATTTTAAAATATTTATAGGACAAAGCTATTTTAAGAGTCACACTAGGAAATTTATGAATGACATATGCCAATTTAAAAGAAGTAAATGAAATTCCTTAGTCATCAGTATTTTAATTAATTAATTATTTATTTATTTAATTTATTTTTATTAGTTGGAGGCTAATTACTTTACAATATTGTAGTGGTTTTTGTCATACACTGACATGAATCAACCATGGATTTACATGTATTCCCCATCCCGATCCCCCCTCCCACCTCCCTCTCCACCCGATCCCTCTGGGTCTTCCCAGTGCACCAGGCCGGAGCACATGCATCCAGCCTGGGCTGGTGATCTGTGACACCCTAGATAATATACATGTTTCGATGCTGTTCTCTTGAAACATCCCACCCTCGCCTTTTCCCACAGGGCCCAAAATTCTGTTATGTACATCTGTGTCTCCTTTTCTGTTTTGCATATAGGATTATCATTATCATCTTTCTAAATTCCATATATATGTGTTAGTATGCTGTAATGGTCTTTATCTTTCTGGCTTACTTCACTCTGGATAATGGGCTCCAGTTTCATCCATCTCATTAGAACTGATTCAAATGAATTCTTTTTAATGGCTGAGTAATATTCCGTGGTGTATATGTACCACAGCTTCCTTATCCATTCGTCTGCTGATGGGCATCTAGGTTGCTTCCATGTCCTGGCTTTTATAAACAGTGCTGCGATGAACACTGGGGTGCACACATGTACAGTGATGTGCATTCAGTTACTGTTCCAGTTTGTTGTCATGTGAGTTCACACTCTGTGCCAGACGGGGCTCCACGCACCCAAAGAGACAGGACCAGTGCCCTGGGGCAGCAGGGGCTTCATACCAGGCAGGGGCTGGTGCTCTGAGGAAAACCAGCGCAGGGAACGTGCCTCAGGTCAGCGTGAGCAGAAGGTGGGGTGTGGTGCGGGATGGTGCGGCAGGGTCTCTGCAGAGATAACACCCAGGGGAAGGATTACATCCAGGGGAGCAGCCAGTGCTTCAGCACCAGGGCCGGGAAGAGAGGCCATGCCAGGGGTCGGGGGAGGAAGCACAGAGGGAGGGGAAGGAGACTGGACGAGACACGGAAGCCTCAGGGCCTGTGTCCACGTGCAGGCCCCAGGGGTCCTCCTGGGTGACACAGAACAACCGCGAGGCTTTCAGCTGCAAGCGGCATGTTCTCTGTGCTAACACGATGCTTTGGTTCACTTTTGGGAAGAGACAGCAGCGGGGAGTCCCCTCAGAGGTCAGCTCATTGCCAGACATGAGGGGACAGTGGGCTGGCTAAAGATGCTTGGGAGTGAGGGTGTGAAGGGTCTGGCTGGAGATGTATTTTTAAATAGGGCTTCCTATTGTATGTTAAATGGACTAAGCCTGAATGAAATAAATGAGGTATGAGTACTGGTGAGGCTTGAGAAAGGATATGTCTTTATTTTATGATTTATGGGACACTGAAAGAGGAGCAATTTTGAACCTGTTAGGACAGCAGGAGCCAGAGACCTGTAGTCAGTGGGACCTGGGCCACTTGGTCTCGTCCAGTCTCAAACCCACTTCCTACAGAGATTGGCACAAAGTCTGCCCTTTGAACAAGGAGCCACAGAGTCAGATTTACCCACACCTGCTGTAACCACACCCTGTGCTCCCTCCCATATGCAGAGAGCTCCAGCCCAGGTGCCCGTAACTTAATAGACCCTTTCCCCTCACAGTGAGCCTCTCAGGAGATTCCACCTAAGTCATCAAGTCTTATCTCTCAGTAGGGTAAAACAACTGTGGCCACTGTGACGTGACTTTTCAGACACTTACACGCAGGGAAAGTCCCTGCAGATCCACCTCTATCAGGACAGACACTGCCTCTGATGCTGCTGGAAGGTCCCTATCTGGATGATATGTAGAAAAGGTCCTTGACACCAGCTTCCTGGATTTCTGTAGATGTAGAGAATAAGAGTGGAATGGAAAAGTGGACTGTAAAGACACACTCGATGGGAGACAAATCGTGCACTGTCAACACTTAGATGATTAGTGGGGAGGGCCTGACCATGGCAAACCAGCTACCTGACCAAAAGCTTCCTCTTTCAGCAGAACTGAAGCCCAAGATCCACCCATGTGCCTCCTGCTCTCTGGCTTTCTCCAGTCAGAAATTCCTCAGCCAACACATCCAACGCAGTCACCCCTCTCAGACCCTCCTGAGACCATCTGAGAGAGACCCCCTCCAACCAGAGGATCCCTGCCCAGGCAATCAAAATCAGCGATATTCAGATCCACAGAGCCCGAGCGACAAACCTGAGGGTCAGGAGGCCAAGGACAGGCCCAAACCTTTGCTGAAAAGCATAAGGCTGAAGAGGATTTCAAGGGCTTCTTCCTATTCACCCGGAGGACAAATGGGGGGTTCTGGGGTGCATGAGAGAATGAAAGACGAGTCCAGCACAAGCCAGAAACTGAATCCGGAGGACACAGGCACATTGCTCACGGGGGTAGGGGTCTCAGGGATTATGAGAGTCACGTACGGAGAGTGTGGGCAAGGATCCAAGGACAGGTCAAGTCTCATCACACACGAGAGGACACACACAGGGGAGAAAGCCTATGTTTGCGGGGAGTGTGGGCGAAGCTTCAGCGATAAGTCAGTCCTCATCAGACACCAGAGGACACACACAGGGGAGAAGCCCTATGTTTGCGGGGAGTGTGGGCGAAGCTTCAGTAAGAACTTCAATCTCATCACACACCAGAGGACACACACAGGGGAGAAGCCCTATGTTTGTGGGGAGTGTGGGCGAAGCTTCAGCGATAAGTCAGCCCTCATCAGACATCAGAAGACACACAGAGGGGAGAAGCCCTATGTTTGCAGGGAGTGTGGGCGAAGCTTCAGCGATAAGTCAGCCCTCATCAGACATCAGAAGACACACAGAGGGGAGAAGCCCTATGTTTGTGGGGAGTGTGGGCGAAGCTTCAGCGATAAGTCAGTCCTCATCAGACACCAGAGGACACACACAGGGGAGAAGCCCTATGTTTGCGGGGAGTGTGGGCGAAGCTTCAGTAAGAACTTCAATCTCATCACACACCAGAGGACACACACAGGGGAGAAGCCCTATGTTTGTGGGGAGTGTGGGCGAAGCTTCAACGATAAGTCAGCACTCATCAGACATCAGAAGACACACACAGGGGAGAAGCCCTATGTTTGCAGGGAGTGTGGGCGAAGCTTCTGTCAGAAGTCAGCCCTCATCAGACACCAGAGGATACACACAGGGGAGAATCCCTATGTTTGCGGGGAGTGTGGGTGAAGCTTCAGCGATAAGTCAGTCCTCATCAGACACCAGAGGACACACACAGGGGAGAAGCCCTATGTTTGCGGGGAGTGTGGGCGAAGCTTCAGCCATAAGTCAGTCCTCATCACACACGAGAGGATACACACAGGGGAGAAGCCCTATGTTTGTGGGGAGTGTGGGCGAAGCTTCAGGGATAAGTCAGCCCTCATCAGACACCAGAGGACACACACAGGGGAGAAGCCCTATGTTTGTGGGGAGTGTGGGCGAAGCTTCTGTCAGAAGTCAGCCCTCATCAGACACCAGAGGATACACACAGGGGAGAAGCCCTATGTTTGCGGGGAGTGTGGGCGAAGCTTCAGTCAGAAGACCCATCTCATCTCACACAAGGGGACACACACAGGGGAGAAGCCTTATGTTTGTGTGGAGTGTGGGCGAAACTTCAATCAGAAGTCCATCCTCATCTCCCACCAGAGGACACACTAGCGGAGAAGCCCTATGTTTGCAGGGAGTGTGAGTGAGTTATGACCAACAAACCACACCTTAGCCACAGGAGGATTACTGCAGCCACCCCATGCCTCAGCTCTAAGGGGGCCTCAGAGGAGGTCTGTGACCCGTTACTGTCCCCAGGAGCATGAGGAGAGACTTCTCAGGTGGTCCAGGGGTCAAGACTCCAATGTGGAGACCCACGTTCAATACCTGATTGGGGAACTAGCTCCCACGTGCTGCAGCTAAGACACAGCACAGCCGAATAAATAAATATATAATAAATATTTTAAAGAAAGAGTGTGATAAGCACAGGATTACTTCTTAAATAGACCTTCTACTTTCGTGACATGAGAGGAGGTAGATAAACAGCAGAGGGTTTCTTAGGTGTTCTGGTGATGTTCATGCCAATTGCCTTCGTGGTTTTTTAGTACTCCTCTTCTAAGAAATTTTGTCTCCAAACAAATCTGAAGCCCAGACTATGCATTCATTCCCCCCTTATCACTCACAGCAGTGGAGTCCAGTCGTAGCTGAACCCCTGGGAAGGCATAATTCTGGAGCCAAGTCAGTTAGGTCACTTGAGAGTCAGTTCCTGGGACCAGAGAGAGGAATGTAGAGTTGAGACAGACTCACCAGGGAAGGGAATTCCCCGGCCTCCTGGGAAGTGAGGCCTCCCCTCCTTATAGACCTCGGTTCTCCTTTGGCCTCTCCTGGGGGCCCTCTGGTTCCCTCTGACTTCTGTAGCCGCAAAGGTGAAGGCCACGTGCGTGTGTGTGTGTGTGTGTGCGTGCGCCTGGCTCAGCATGGGCCGTCTGGTCTCTGCCGCTCCCTCGGGGTCATCACAGCATCTGGGCTCCAGATTCGACCACAGGGGTCCAGTTCTCAGCCCTGCCCCCAGCAGCTGTGTGAGCTGGGACAAGATGCTCAACCTCTCTGTGTCTCTATTCTCATCTGTGATACAGCGTGGGAGCACCAGCATTTTGGTCTGATGTGTAAGCACAGGCGGAATCTGGCAGAGGCTCTCTGAGAACGCAAGCCCCACCTTTGCTGTCCTTTGTTTTGTTTTTTTTTTTTTAATTTAATCATTTTTATTTTTTAATAGAAGGATAATTGCTTTACAGAATTTGTTTTCTGCATGTCCTTCACCCCCCACACCTTCCAGGTCTTCAGAGCTAGACAAGGAAGGGGCTGTTTAGGTACCCAGCTGCCCTGAAGAGGGGGTGTGAGGTCAGGGGTGCGAAGGGAGGGCGACCTCCCTTCCCACCCCTGCCGTTCCTGCTGAGCTGGGCAGCCCCAGAGCCCGTCCACAGACATCATCCACGTGCTCACAGTCGTCCCCCTTGCCGAGAACAGACCCTGGAGCCGCATTTGCAGGAAATCCCTGACCGGCCTCCATCCCACCACCACACGGAGGGTCCTTGAAGCCCACACCGCGGCTTCTCTATGCATGGGCCTCACACCTGTGCCCGTGCGCTCTGGGCAACGCTGTCGCGACCTTGAAATTCTTAACCATGGAATAGTTCATCCTTACACTTCCCTTTCATGACTGAAGTCTGATGGGCCCCGGGGTGAGCTGTGAGCAGAGCAGATGTACACACAGCATGGGCCCTGGGGTGGCCAGGCTGCACGAGGGGACAAGGTGGGCACAAAGCCCCCCACCCTGGGTGAGTGTGGGTGGGGACAGCACCAGGAAGCCACACTTGCTCAGACCCGGAACTGAGCTCCGACACAGAGTGGGGGCAATAGCGTTCTTAAGGTCGACCACACCCTGCCCTCCGTGAATGACCTCTGCCCTAGCCTGATCCTTCCAGAAGGGGTTCAGGAGGCTGAAGTCCGCCCGGCCACCAGAAGACAACAAGGGGAGAGTGGGCCACGGGGCGGGCGGTGGAGGGTGCAAACTCCAGGACTCGGGGCAATGGCCCTCAGTTCCCTCCATGTGCCATGCTTGTGAAGCGTCTCTACATGAACCGTGTCAGTAATAACCACCCACTATTATTTTCATGTTTCTGTCATGCTTTCTTAAAGGAACGTGTTTGTCTGTGGCTTGGTTTCCCTACAGGAAGGGAAGCCACGTAAACTTCCCATCTTCTGTGGCTTCAGGCCAGGGCCACAGGAGGGAGAGTTAGGGGTGGTGCAGGCAGAGCGGATTCAGCTGAAAAACGGTGGGGACCCAGAAACCTGCAGGGGCTTCTCACCAGAGCTGGGCCTGGAATCCCCTGGAACACTGAGCAGGTCAAAGCTTCTCCCTCCCCTCCCCTCTGCTCCTCTCTCCTCAAAAAACTGACTCCTGGGGCCAGCCCACAACACCCCCAAATCCCCCATCACCCACAGCCCTGCACAGGCCCTCCCTCACAGAACTGGGATGACCTGGATGGTGGCACAGATGGTGTGTGACCCCAGAGCTGGGGGTCTCAGCTGACCTTGAGCAAGGGGGTTGGTTCTTTACACAGCCTCCCAGCCCTGGGAGCTGCCAGCAGCCACAAGCCATGACCTTAAGCGGAGCTGGGAGAGGGGGAGTGGGGATGCGAGCTGTCTGAGGGCCCACCCTGTCCCCAGGACAGCGGACAGGTCTCACCTGACACCGTGACTGCCCTGCACGGGCTCACAGGACGCCAGCAGTCATGGGATGGACAGCCAGCTCCCTCAGCCACAAGCTCCACCCTGACCGCGGCGGCCCCACGGCTGTACCAGCCCCACCTGCGCGTGGCTCTGCTTGGCTGCCAGGGCTCGGGGACCCTGGGTGAGTCGCTGAGGGCAGAGCTCCAGAGGCCAAGCCTGTCTTCAGCCACAAGACCTGCCCTGCTTACTGGACTCATGAGCCCAGCCAGTATTTGAAGCCAAGATGCCTTTGGGAGAATGACACCACAGACACTGACCTCAGAGCTTAGACTCCTGAAAACTTACTAAACAGATTATTTTTAGTCTTTTTTTGAAGTGGAATGTTGTCAGGAAGCGGGCAGGGGAATGACTCCCTTGGTGGTCCTGTGGTTAAGAATCCACCTGCCAATTCAGGAGACACGGGTTCAATCCCTGATCTGGGAAGACCCCACGTGCTGTGGAGCAACTAAGTCCATTCACAACTACTACAGCCCAAGAACCTCGAGTCTCTGCTTCCCAACCAGAGCAGCCACCACAGAGAGAAGTTCAGCACAGAAACGAGAGAGCAGCCCCCACGCCCTACAACCAGAGCAAAGCCCACACAGCAGCGAAGACCCAGCACAGCCAAAAACAAATAAATAACCTTTTTTTAAGTAGGAGATCACAGCATTCTCTGCTGATCCAGAGGCTAGGACTCTGAGCTCCCAACACAGGGGGCCACGTTCAATCCCTGGTCAGGGCACTAGATCCCACATGCTGCAACTGAAGGCCCAGCATGCCACAGCTAAGACCCAGTGCAGCCAATTAAATGAATACTTAAAAGTAGGAGGCTGTTCATCTGTCACCATAGAAAACTGCAACATTTTAGTAAAAGAAAAAAACAAAAGATATTATTTTGCAAGTGCTCATGGTTGATTGCAAAATTTTCTCATAATAAGTAGCTGTTTTTTTTTTTTTTTTAAAGAAATTTAGAAAATACAGAAACTAAAACCCACCCATAAATGTGTGGGGAGCACCAATTACTGCAGCATCTGGCCACCACACATGGGAACACACGTGCGTGTTTTTCTTCTACAAAGCAGCTGTCAGCCTCCACCCCTCTTCCCACCGGCCTCTGCTCGGCTCACCAAGAAGACTGCGCTTTGGCCTCGTGACCGTGGGGGTTTCTGTTGAACTCAGGGAGGTGGAGGAGCAGGGCTGTGTGGTTGGGGGCACCGTCTGGCCTGCAGTGAGGAGAGAAGCGCGAGTGTTCCGCCTCTGGGTCCAGTAACTCCAGGCGCCTCAGGGGAGCCGCCTGGGAAGAAGCCTCTCAAACACCTTCCCTGCAGTCTCCACAGTTAGAGCACACCCCACGTCTGGGGGTTTGGCTGTGGGTTAACAAGTCCTCTCTTGTTGGACAGAAAAGTGTTTCCACAGAGAAACTGCCTGGATCTTGGCAGATCTTGGTACAGATGTAACAGGCAGTACGTTCAGGGCTCAGGGAAGTTAGTTCTAAAGCTCTCTGGGTTTAGGGCTACAGCACTTCCTCACCTCCAACCCTTCCATGGTCATGGAGCCTTCTCTTCCAGAGGAAGGTGTTTGGCAACATCAGCCACAAAGACACATACCGAAGAGGAGAAAGCCCACGGCAGGCGGGGCTGGGTGCTCCTGGGGAGCAGAGGGGCCTTGGACACTCCATGCTGGACCCCTTCCCCACTGGCTTCTCCTCCTTCTTGCTGGGCATGCAGCTTTCACCTCCGGGGTGCCCGCCAGTGAGGGGCTCCCAAGGCACCAAGCTGGGGTTGGCGATGGGGGAGCTGGATGTCAGGGAACCCGAGACCCTGCAGCAGGTCAGTGCACTGTGGACGAGGGCAGGCCTCACTGA